TTCCTGTCTCTTGGCGTGTTCACCCACTCTGCGCTCAGTGACTCACGCGTTCTGACTCTCATAGGCGCTGCTGCCAGGAGCAGTCCTGCATCGGTCATCTTGCACGAGATGGCGGTGTCTCTGATGTCTCCTGGGGTGACATGTTGGATTATAGGCCATGCAGGCTCGCCTGCTCACTGGCTAATGGCCGTGGTGTTCTGAAGGACACATACCAGTTCACACTTGCCCCGAGACCGCATGGAGGTTCCTTCGGCCCATGCTTTGCCCGGGACTCGGTACTGTAGGGCTCCTCAGTCGCTGACAGTGCTCTGCCCCGTGTCTGCTACTCTCAGGTATCAGGTCGACAAAACTGTATCTCATGTGGGCTCCACTTGCTTTTCCTGCCTGCTGAGGACCTTTGGCCCCTGCTCATATGATCTCAGTCAGTCTGTATTTTCTCCTTGGAGTGTAGTTTCATGATAAATAGCTATTTCTCTATTATCTCGCTTGGTGTAGTCCTTACACTTACCTATCATCGGTTATAGGTGCTGCAGCTATAATACTACTTTTCAGTATTGTTTTTTCACTTATTTAAAGTATGTTTTCTTGAATAGAGCTGCTTATTTTAGTGTAATGTTCTTACATAATAATGATTTTGTCTTGTGTAAAAATCTTGCTTTATTCCCCAACATCAGGAACATAGTCTTGTTTATCTGGATATTTAACTCCTTTTGATCTGAGGTCGAATTTGAATGTAGTGTGAAATCGGAATGCAGTTTGCCAGGGTGACATCAGTTTTCCTAGCTCCGTTTACTGTGTTTTCTCTATTTTTACCACTGAGCTGTCTGCCTCCTCTACCATCCACCAGAGTCCTGTGTGTGTGTGTTTTCTGAGCTCTCTGTTCTTTTTCTCTTGTCCATTTGTCTTCTCTCTGTGCCAATACCACCGTGTCTGAGAGTCTGTTTTTCCATCACAGTACTCTCATCTGAGGCAGTAGGTATCCTTCTCCTTACTCTTGCCTGTTTGATCTTTCCTATAAGTCCTACCATCGAACTATGAAGTTCCTTGATGACCCAGTTGCCATTTTATAGGGAATTGTACTGAATTTTTTTTCTTCACTTGGGTAGCATTGTCAGTTTTATATTATTAAGTGACCCCCCCCCACGCCGGCCCAGGTTTTGTTGAGTAATTATGGACATACAGGTTTCCCCACTATGCAAAATTAGAGTGTTCCTGGGAAACTTCTCATGACATAAAGTGTGGAAGAAATTACCATTGATTTATATGGAGAATATTTTCACCATGAATGTCTTCAAGTACAGCATTACTGTGTTCTCATGTAGATCACATGTATTTTGCAAGTCTGTTCACCATACTGTTCCTCGGGCAAACGAGACTCGTGTCCAGCCCAGTCCTGCTCACTTCCTGCCTTACGAGCCTTGTCCTGGGAGGCCTCACTGTCACCCCTGTCAGAAACTTGGGAATCCTGTTTCCTTTTCTCCTCCCTTTCCCTGGATCCTCATCAGTACCGTCTTTGTGCATTTAGTCCCTTTGTACATTCTGTCTCCTAAGGCTACTGTGGCCTTTGTACTTTCTCTTTTGTGGTGAGTCCCATGATGCCAGTAGGACTCACATCATGGGCACCTCCTGTGCAAGGGAAAACTCCCTTGGATCTCTTGTTGTACGCAGCCAGCCAAGCTCAAGGCTAAGAACACAGAACTCCTAAGAGTGCCACATCGGCCCAAGTCATCTGAAGCCACTGGAAGTTCAGAGATTTCCCAGAACTACCTTCAGGCTTAATGAGCTGATAGACTCAATAAACTTCCTAAAAACTGTTACACTGTCCTCTCAGTCATGTTTGTTACAGACAAAGGTACAGCTTGGAAGAGGAGCCAGAAGTGTTCCAAATACTGAACTCCTGCGTCTTCAGTGACTTGTTACCTCCTTGGATCCATATGTGACAATAGGTCCATGGATATTGCCAACCCAGGAAATTGGCCGAAGCCTCAATATCCAGATTTTTATTGAGCCTTCATTACCGAAGTGTGTTTGATTGAGTCATTGCCCATGGGACTCAAGTCTCTAGCCCTTTGTTCCTTTCCAGAGGTCCAGCTGATACCTGGTGACTCAAAGCTTCAATTTTCTAATTATATGGTTGATTTTTCCGATGCGGCCAGACCTTACCCTGTGAGTCATCTCTTTGGTATAAATGATGGGCCCACGATGAGTTATATATCGTCATAAAGTATCAGGTGCATTCCTAGGCACCCACCATGAATGACAAAGAGAGGTCTGTCACTCTGGAACTACACAGCATTGAGAGGTTACCTCCTTGGAGCTGGGACAAAGACCATACTTCTTTTGGGGGAAAGTTAACTTTACATTACATACTTTCTATCTTCTATCAGGGCTCCATTAGGTGCCTTTCTTAGTGTTCTTAACAGCAACGTCCTCGCTTAGACAAAACCAAACATACAACATTCTTATTAGTCTTTCCGGCTGCATCCAGTACAGAATTGCAGCGGTGTGTCCACTCCAGACCCCTGTCTCCTATCTAGCTTTTCCTGGGTCTCCCTTTCATGGTGTCAACAGTCTAATATCTGGGGGTGGGGGGGGAAGAAATTGCAATCCCGAGATTCAGAGGTAATAAAACATAACAAAGATGGGCACTATTTTCATCTTCATTCTTTTCACTGAAATGCTGATGATATATTTTCTGAGTTGTCATTACTAATAGGCCTTTCTGTATATTGGGTTTCTTTCAGATGACAAGGGAAAACCCACGACTACAGAACTTTCCAGTTGTGCACCAGCCCTGTCTGGGGGGGCCTTGTTCCAGGAGCTAAGACAGGGAGACCCAGGGAACTTCCAGCTGGGCCAAACCAAGGATCAGAGTGGGTCATCAGAAATGCAGGAAGGACACTTGAGACCAGGCTTAGAACCCAGGAGAGAGAAGCTCCCTGAGAAAACAAGCCCTGAGCTTGGTGGTTTAGGGGCAGCTGATGGCGTGTGTTCACAGACGGCACAGGAGCTGACCCATCCAGGAGGTGCTGTCCATGACCGTGACTCGTGTGGATCAGGTAAAGATCCCGTGATTCAGGAAGAGGAAAATACCTTTAAGTGCAATGAATGTGGGAAAACTTTTAATAAAAAGCACCTTCTTGCTGGACATGAGAAGATTCACTCTGGAGTGAAGCCCTATGAATGCACCGAGTGTGGGAAAACATTTATTAAGAGCACACACCTCCTGCAGCACCACATGATCCACACGGGGGAGCGGCCCTACGAGTGCGTGGAGTGCGGGAAGGCCTTCAACCGCAAGTCCTACCTTACCCAGCACCAGCGGATCCACAGTGGAGAGAAGCCTTATAAGTGCAGCGAATGTGGGAAGGCCTTCACCCACCGCTCCAATTTCGTCTTGCATAAGAGGAGACACACTGGTGAGAAAACCTTTGTGTGCAAAGAATGTGGGCAAGTCTTTCGACATAGGCCAGGATTCCTTCGACATCACATCATCCACAGTGGCGAGAATCCCTACGAATGCTTCGAGTGTGGCAAGGTCTTCAAACACAAGTCCTACCTCGTGTGGCACCAGCAGACTCACACTGGGGAGAAGCCCTATGAGTGCAGTGAGTGTGGGAAAGCCTTCTGTGAGAGTGCGGCCCTCATTCACCACTATGTCATCCACACTGGGGAGAAGCCCTTTGAGTGCCTGGAGTGCGGGAA